CCAGCTCCCATCCAAATTTAGGACTGGAGATTTATCCATCCATGAAGCTATTGCCATAAAGAAATTTCTAACTAAGGTAGACAGCCTACTATCTAGGATCCCAAGTCTCCATAACCCTGGCTATTTTATTTCCTGGTGATCTTTGTTTCCATATTGTATTCCAGTGTGACATGAATCAAAATTTTTTATGCCATTGATCCGTTTAACCATATACTTGCTCGGCACTATTGTGGACAATTCCCTGGCATAATGCTGGTGACCTAAGGGAAATTATAAATAGAATGTGCTGATATACTTGTGTCATGGGGATCCTGTTCAAGAATATTACTTACTCTGGTGTTGTTCAGACATATATAATTATGTATTTGTGTGTATATATACACACACACACATATAGCCTGCTTCTCTGTATTGTTGACTATTTTTCTATTTTGCAGCTACCTTCCCAGCATGATGGTACCCATATTAATGATTACCATATCTTTATTACTCTTACTCAAGGGAAATATCTACCTAGATAGTTGCCATAAGCTTAATTTGAAGAGGGTCTTTTCAGCTCTGATTGAGTCTATATGCTCAAAATGAAGCTTGTTAAGCCTTTCTTTCATCAGCCTGTGTGTTACATAAAGTAGAATTGTTTTTTTCACTAAATAGGCATTATGGCGAGGAGCTGATGACCTACTCTATTCTTGGCTAGCCCATTTGTGCTGGAATTAATACAATTCTACTAATTGACTGCAATGTATTGTTGTCTCTGTGGACCTTTCAAGCACCTGTCAGTCATTTTCACAATAAAAATGGCTAAATACTTTAATTCAAACCTGTCTGGGTCTGGAAAAGAAGTTTCTGAAAATTAGAGTACGTTTCCAATCAGCTTCCCGCTTTAAACTGAATGAATGACCCTTCCATAGTCACTCCATTCTCTCTTCTTCAGATTTGGAATCCTGAGTGCAACCTGGCTTACAGGATGTTTAGAGGCACTTCCAGTCAGTTTGCTTCTGCACTTCTAACCTGTATGCCTTTTCAGTGACTGCACTGGCCATTTGAATATAGAATAATAGAATTCATAAACTAAGGTTATTAATTCAAGAATCATTTTATTAAATAAATTCCATCTATAATAATCACATGTTTAAATAAAAACACAGTTGTAGTTAAAGACAATTTTTAAAGAAGTAACTAAGAAAGAATGAATTTTTGAGGCCAAATAGATGACTCAGCAGGTAAAAGCATATACTACTTTTACAGATGTCCCAAGATCAGTTCCCAACACCAAACTGGGTGTCTCCAAATTTCCTGTAATTACAGATCCAGAAGATCTGATTCCTCTGTGAGGGTGCTGCACCCATGTGTACTTCTCTTCTTCTCACATATACATAATTTAAAATAAAAAAATAAATTTTAAAAACCAAAGTATTAATGTATGTAATAAGACATTGATACCCTTAAAGAAGAAATATAGTGCTCGTGTATGGAATTCTCAAAAAATTAAATTGAATAAAACATAAGTGAATACAGCTTTCATCATGGAAGAGAATATTTGTAAACCATATACCTGACAAGGGTTTACTATCCAGGCGAAATAGAAAATGTTTTACAATTTTTCAGAAAAAAAGTGACAATTTAGAATAAACAAAAAACATTAGTATTCAGAAAAACAAAGAGCCAATAGCAACATGAAAAGATAATCAAATGTATTAGTTTTTAGAGATATAAGAATAAAAACACAATAGAGTAACACTTTATATCTACTAAGATGTCTACATTAACAATTGAAAATAACAAGTATTAACAACAATGTGAAGAATTTGGAACGATTATAAATGACTGCTATGGAAACCTGGTCCCGCCTTAAAACTGTTCTTCATAGAATATAAACTGTTCTTCACAGAATATGACTGATTGATTTCACTCCCAGGTATATACCTAAAATAAGTAAATAAGATACCCAACAGATTTTTTCTATTCAATATTTGCTCACTGTTCTTTGATGTATATTTCATAATAGATTAAAGGTGGAAGCAAACCACATGTCTACCAACATTTGAATGGACAAAACAGAATGTTATTTAGCTACCAAAATGAAGTTCTTGTATAGGCTAAAAAAAAAGTGAATCTTGAATATGCTTAAAAACATTAGCTAGATGAAAAAAGGCACATTTTTATGATACTGTGGATATAAAATACTTTCAATATGCAAAAGTATATATAAGGAATAGTTGACATCATTTCCATATTATAATGAAGATGAGAGAATTATGAGAAAGCCATGGTTTAATAGATAGGGGGTTTTTATTTGACATATGAGACAGTTTAGGAAATGAACAGCAGTGATTGTTGCACATTGCAGCATGTAGTTAAATTCATTGATACTCTTAAATTTGAAGAGAATTGCATCATAATTAATAATATTGATATAAAAAGAACATTAAATGACTCAGTTGTATGAAAACAATTTTAAGATATATGAGTTATATAAAAATATTTCAAATTATTTTTAAAAATTTTATGTAAAGAGCAGTCATGGTTCCCTGCCCTGTGGAAAGTCCAAGGTCCTCCCCCCTCCGTCCATGTCTAGGAAGGTGAACGTCCAAACTGGCTAGGCTCCCACCAAGCCAGAACATGAAAGGAGTGGGGGGAGGGGGAGAAGAGAGGGGGGAGGGGGAGAAGATTGGGGGGAGGGGGAGGGAAATGGGAGGCTGGGAGGAGGCGGAAACTTTTTTTTCTTATTCTCAATAAAAAAAAAGAAAAAGAAAAAAAATTTTATGTAATGTTTGACATATTTTAATCCAGGCTAGTTAGTAGACAGCAAGTATTTAAGTCATTAAAAATTAAATTAAAATTTTTCCAGTAGCCCCATTTCTGGGTATACATCTGAAGTAATCTAAGTTATCATGCAACAGAGATGCATTCAATCCCAAGCTTACTGAAACAGTATTCACAATAGCTAAGTCATGGGATCCACCTAAATGGCCATCAATATTTGAATGTATAAAGATGTAAAGGAGATATCCTCAAATTTCAAAAAGGAGATAAAATTGTATCTTCATGAGAAATGAAAGAGCTGGAGATCTTCATGTTAAGTAAAATATTCCAGATTTAAAAAGACAAATATTGAGTGTTCTCTTTCATATGAAGATTCTAGATCTTTAATGATTAATAAATTAAAAGAAAAGGGGCTATTTAAGAAAAAAAGATGATTCAGAGGGAGGTGTGAAAAAGATAAAGGGTACAATGGAGGTACATATTTATGACCAAGGTATATTTATTGTGTATATGTATTATTAAGTAAAATCCATTTTCTACAGTGATAGAGAGGAAAATATTATGGTGAATGGCAGGAAGTCAAAAGTGCACATCTCCAATTTTTAAAGCCAAAGTACTAATGGTCTAAATTAGTAATTATCATATTATATACAAAGCATGTAGAATATATCTTCATAAAACACAACAACAACTTCTTAATATAGAAGAACTTGTTCTTCCAGAATGAGAAAAACAGAAATAAATGTAGATCAAAATCTTTTTTTATCGATATTTATTGAGCTCTACATGTTTCTCTGCTCCCCTCCCTGGTTCTCCCCTCCCATCTTAAGCCCTCCCCCAAGGTCCCCATGCTCCCAATTTACTCAGGAGATCTTATCTTTTTCTACTTTCTACTTACCTTGGTAGATTAGATCTCTGTAAATCCCTCTTAGTGTTCACATTGTTGTCTAAGTTTTCTGGGATTGTGGTTTGTAGGCTGGCTTTCTTTGCTTTATGTTTAAAAACCACCTATGAGTGAGTACATGTGATAACTATCTTTCTCTGTCTGGGTTACCTCACTCAAAATAATGTTTTCTAGCTCCATCCATTTTTCTGCAAATTCAAGGTTCCGTTATTTTTTTAAGCTCTGTAGTACTCCATTGTGTATATGTACCACATTTTCCTTATCCATTATTCATAGATAGAAATCTTAATATGTATATAAAGTACTGGAAAGCTTATGAAAACAGGATTTCTGTCACAGTCAAGCTAAACTTGATGCATTTATTTGTATGAACCTCGACAGAACCTGGTGACAAATACATGGGGGCAATAGCAGAGTTTGCTTTTCTTTTTGTTGAATTGACAGTATTTTATGGGAGTGTCCTTTGAATCTTAACAAAAAATAGATGTTTTCCTTTATCATGTGAATAATTTGCTTTGAATATAAACAGCCTATGTGCTGCCAATATAATCTCATATATGTAAATCATAGATGAGTACATTTAATCTTGTATTCAAAGCTACAGATACACTTTGAGATTTTTTTTTGTATCCCTTAAATTAAACTCAAAATGCAATCATTTTTACTGGGAACAGGCTTTGTATTTCCCACAAGGTTACTGGAAGATTGTAAATGAGCAGTATTTTGGGCAATGTACAAAGTGAGTTGCTACAAATAATTAGGATTAGCTGATATGTTATGAGTTACAAAGGAGGTGTTGTCAAATCAGAAGAGATTTTTAGCTTCTCTATGTTGTGTTTGTATAGAAAACATTTCATATGATTATAAAAATTTGAGGTTCCTATCATGGTTTTATTATTCTTGATTTCGAGGTTTACAATATTTCTATTTTATCAAATTTATGAAGCTATTTGTCTGATAATAGTCACCAGCAATATAACACCGTCAGATGTATATATGTGTGTGTGTGTGTGTGTGTGTGTGTGTGTTATTTTTTAAAATGTTATAATGGCCATAACTTTACTTCTTAAAGTACAATTCAGATCAATTCACAACAATGGCTTTCAATTGGAGAATCATTCCCTTGTCTATGGAGGTTTATCAGCACACTGATTGGGACCTATTCTTGAACTTTCTGAATTCACTAACTTGATATACTTGCTTTCTAGAGTTTGTATCTGTACCCTTAATAAATATTTACATATTCATGGTATATTATATCATACAATTATTATTTTTTTTTACTTTTTCTCACTTTTATTTATGACAGATTTTCCCTGATCTCTTCTGGTCAAAAATTCTTGGAGACAATTCCATCAGCTTTAGCCAGTCGGAGCATAGAATCATCTGACTCGCCCATCCTGCAAATGGCGCCGCAGATAGCGTAGGTTTTAAACTGGCCATTAAACCGACCTGTGACCCTGTCAACCTCGGCCACATTCATCTGGATGGATGCATGGTCCTTGGCACCAATGATAGGGTTGCTCGCGGAGCATTTCCGCTGCACGTACAGGTCTACCAACTCGCTGGCATCGTTCTGCATGTCGATGTCCTGCCTGCTGGCTAGGCTGCGGGAGCGCAGAAAAAGTATATCATACAATTATTATATGCTATATTTGAAGTGGATTTTTTTTTTACAAATATGGTCTTTGATTATTATGAATTAGAAATATGTTCTTTTAAACCTAACTGCTAGGTAAAAGATAGTCTAAAACAATTTGTGTTTACTTCATTTTTCCATGCAAAAAAAAAAAACAACTAAATTGTAGTAAGAGGAACAGCGGGCCACTTCCCGCCACCCAGCTAGCTTTACCCGAAATAATTACACGGAAACTGTATTCTTTTAAACACTGTTTGACCCATTAGTTCTAGCCTCTTATTGGCTAATTCTCACATCTTGCTTTAACCCATTTCTAATAATCTGTGTAACACAACAAGGTGGCTTACCAGGGAAGATCTTATCCTGCGTCTGTGTTGGGTGTGAGAATCATGGCGTCTGCCTGACTCGGCTTCTTTCTCTTAGCATTCTGTCTGTCTACTCCACCTACCGAATTTTCTGTCCTATTAAAGGACCAAGGCAGTTTCTTTATTAACCAATGAAATCAACACAAAACAGAAGACTCTCCCACATCACTAAATATTTTCCTGAACCATATTGCTTTCATAGTGACTTGTTGCCATGCTTTTATGTTGAAAATTATTAGGAAATGTTTAATTATAGCTATTATAGGGTTTTTGCACACTATAGGGCTTTCATTTTTCCCTTTTTATATTACTTCCCTTTAATCAGTTATGATAGAACATAGGCTATAATACTAATCTGTAGCATAGATGTATTATCTCAGAGACTCATGATACAGCACTGTTCTAGTCATCTGTGCTTGGGAAACGGCTTCTGATTGTATCAAATAACAATGCTAAGAACATACTATTGGCATATGTTAAGATGTATAGAAGTATGAAAGAGAAAATATGTAGGTCATGAGACTGGCAATCTGTTATAAAGCAGCAACATAATTTCTTGCTTTTGATGAATTAACTGATAAAAGATGAATATGGGTTGTTCTAGGAACAATATCATTCCTTTCATAATATATGTATGTACATGTTTAAGTATGTATGTGTATAATTTTTATATATTTGTGTGTATAAAAATCCCTTTTTGTTTTCTTAAGATACCGCTAATTCATAACAATTTAAATAAAATATAATTTTATAAAATTAACTGAAAAATAAATCTTTATCTTCCTGTTGGCCCTCATTATGATTCAAGATCTTTTATTAAATAGTCTTATTAAAATTTTCATGGAAGTGTAGTTATCTTCATGTATTTGATAAGAATCTATGCAATCAAAGCTTTGACTAGAGTGTCATTTTTGAGAATGATGTTCACGTAGTAAAATAAAGCATACTACTTTTAAGGAACTAAGGTTAAATCTATAGCTTCTGTACCTACAAAGTAATTTTGGAAGAAATGGCCTGGGACCATGTTAAGCACCTGGCAGGACTCCAGGTAGTGATGATCTCTCTTATTGTCCTGACTGCCTGACTGTTGTCATAGTTACCTATCTGATCACAATGTTTTCTCCTATCTGACTCCTGTGATAGGACAAAAAAACTGTAGATGACTTTGGTTGTAGATAGGCACAAAAAATAAGTACACAAACACTATGATAGATTGTACACTCAAGGAAGCCTGTAGAAACTAGAACTCAGCACAGTTTCTGTCTCAATTGAAGCAGAGAATAGCCTCATTAATCCAGATGAAACAAGGAATTACTGTGCTCAGCAGATGGGCGGAGCCTTAGATCAACCTAGGGAGAGTCAATGGCTAGCAAGTGAGCAATATTTCTTGAGAGTGAGGGAGGGAGAAACCAGAATGTTCAATATTTGGTTAACATGGAGTGCCCCAAAATGTACTAAAAGCTGAAATATAGAATATTTAATGTATATTTTAATATACATCTCTCAACTTGTTAATACTTAAAAAGGTAACTGTAAAATCATAAATTCATCTCTCTCTTTCTCTTGCTCTCTCTCTCTCCTCCCCATGTGTGTGCACCTGTGTGTGTTTGTGCGTGCGTGCGTGCGTGTGTGTGTCTGTTTATTTGATTTCAGGCTTAAAGAACTAAAATTTGCTAGTATATAAATAAAGAGCAGTTAGAAAACACAAACAGGTCTGAACTAGCAAGATGGCCAGTAAGAAAAACAATTCTCCTACAAAACTGAAGATGAGAATTTTTCCCTGGAAGCCAGATAAGAAGAGAACAATATGACAGCCTACAGAATGGGAAAAGATCTTCACCAACTCCACATCAGACAGAGGTCTAGTCTCCAAAATATACAAAGAACTCAAGAAATTGATCTTCAAAAGAACAAATAATCCAGTAAAAAAAAAATGGAGTACAGACCTAAACAGAGAACTCTCAACAGAGGAATCTAAAATGGTTGAAAGACACCTAAGGAAATGCTCAACTTCCTTAGTCATCAGAGAAATGCAAATCAAAACAACTCTGAGATTCTGTCTTACACCTATAAGAATGGACAAGTTAAAAAACACTGATGACAACTTATGCTGAAGTGAGTGTGGGGAAAAGGGTACACTTCTGCTTTGCTGGTGAGAATGCAAGCTGATACAGCCCCTTTGGATGTCAGTGTGGCAATTTCTAAGAAAATTAGGAAATAACCTTCCTCAAGACCCAGTAATACCACTTTTCGGTATATATTCAAAGGATGCTCAATCTTGCCACAAGGACATGTACTCATAGCAGCATTGTTTGTCATAGCCAGAACCTGGAAACAACCTAAATGCCCCTCGACCAAAGAATGGATAAGGAAAATACAGTACGTTTACCCAATAGAGTACTACACAGCAGAAAAAATAAAGACATCTTGAATTTTGCAGACAAATGGATGGAGCTATAAAACATTTTGAGTGAGATAACCTAGACCCAGAAAGACAAGTATCACATGTACTCACTTATAAGTGGTTTTTAAACATAAAACAAAGAAAACCAGCCTACAGATCACAACTCAAAAAAAAAAAAATACAAAAAAATCCTAGACAACAATGAGGACCCTAAGAGAGACAAACATAGATCTAATCTACATGGGAAATAAAAAAAAGACAAGATCTTCTGAGTAAACTGGGAGCATGGGGACTTTGGGAGAGGGTTGAAGGGGAGGAGAGAGACACTGAGGGGAGCAGAGAAAAGTGTAGAGCTCAATAAAAATCAATAAAATAAAAATTAAGAAGACCCACTATAAGAAGTTGTCCTCTAATGTGTGCACTTAGAGCAATATGAGAGTATGGGGGACTATCAAAAGTAAAAAATCACAGGTCTTATAAGTGGTAATTTTTTAAAGTTTGAAAGATTTTGGAAATTACTCCTGGAAGTGCAACCACTAAAGCAATCACCAACAATCCTACTTGAATAAATCCATTCAGTGAATTAGAGGCTCTGAGAAGAAAAGAAATCTTTCATATGTAAAGTATATTTTCCTAAGTATTGCTCTAGGTGTGTACTTTGAAATTATTTTATGAACACAAGAAGTGTAACTATTCATGAGAAGACATACTTAGTTATTATACATACATGTGCTGTGAGATATTTAAATTAAATTTCATCAAGTTATTATGTCTCTCACTGCTGTGAAAAAAAATGCTTGACAAGAATAACTTAAGGAAGTGTTCATTTCATCTCTATTTGTGGTTGTGGTACAACACAATGGGTAAGTCACAGAGGACTGGACTTGATGTAGCTGGTCATACTACATCTTCAGTCAGAAGGCAGAAAGGGACAAATATTACTTTTAAGTTCACGATATCCTTTTTATTCAACCCAGAATTTCACCCCATCAGCACCTATTTGGAGTAGATCTTTACAACTCATTTACAGAAACCTCTTGACAAACATGCTCAAAGGTTTGTTCCTTAAGTGATTATAGATTTTGTCAAATGTCAATATTAATCATCAACTCCACAAACATCATTTGTAATTAATACATTTAAAATCCTTGTTATTTCATAATATATTCTATTAATTTTCTTATTCGACAGTTTTGTACATGTATATGATTATGGTTCTTTTAGGTCCATCCTCTTTCATCTTCTTCCTTTCTCTGCCCGCATCTTTACCCTGTCTTCATAAGTTCTTTTATAGCATCCATGTCTTTGTGTTTTGTCTCGTGACCCACTGAATTAAGGACATCCATGTGACCATGACCTTCAAATCATCCATTGGAGCCTGTTGCATTCATCTTTTGATAGACAAGTGTAGACAATAACTCTCTCACTCCAAGTAGTCAATAATATCAGCAGGACAGGGTTTCATTTCATAAGTCCCTCCCAAATATATGTCATGAAAGGAAGCCCTGTCTTGTGAAGGTCCAAAGCAATCAACTGCATTTCATAAGATCATGATTGTGGTGTCTGTCATCATTTCATAGTTGAAGTCCTTATCTTCTGACTCTTGGCTCCTACTCCCACTTTCTTGACATTCCCTGAGTCTTAGGCTGTCATAGGTATCAGTTTAACAACTGAGCCCTCAACTGCAATTGTTGTAGATTTTTTATCATTATCACACAAGAACTTCTTACTCTTAGGTGATTATACATTAGTAGTCAGTGAGTAACTTTTCCTTGTACCCCTACTCTTTAGTCATCCAAGTTCCTAGTCACTGCTATTCTAGTCTCTATAACAAGATTTTTAGATTTCACATGAGTGAAATAATAAGTGATTATCCTTCTGTATTTTAATTATTCTACTTACCATCTTATTTTCTAGATCTATGTAATTTGTCATAATAGAAAAATTCCATCTTTTTATGGGTTACTTCATTTTGTATATTCAGTCTCTAGCAAAGAGACTCATAGTGTGATTAAATTTCTTAGATACTATAAACAATCCTGTAATAAACATGGAAATGCCAAACGACTTTGCCGTACTTATTTCCTTTATTTTGATTGTATACATAGCAGTAGGATTGCTGCATCATATAGTAGTTCTATTTTAAATTTTTAGAAGAAGCCATGTTGTTTCTC